ATATACATATTATATATTTTTGTGCCAGCAAACACAATTAACTTCGGTCTTATTATGATATAAGCATGTGAGAGTCACATGATTAGTTAGTTAGTTAAGAAGGTAGTTAGTTTGTTATATGTAAGTTAAGGGTATTTTGGTCATTTTAGCTTTTTCGTCTCTTTTTCTCTAGTATATATCGACTGTATATGATAGTGGAGAGCAGACTTGCTCATTCTCTCAATAACAGAACAGAGTTCTAGAACTTTCATCCATTAACAATCTCAAGCAATTCTCACAATTTCACATGGTATCAGAGCGACATGCCTGGATTGCACCGCGTTGAAGCGTTGATTTCTGATTTCAATTTATAATTCATTTCTGTTTTTGATTTCTGTTTTCGATTTCTGATTTCTCAATTACTCGAGGCTCGATTGAAATTTGTTAAAATCATCAATGTCGGACGTAGATTCATCCATGTCAAAAACTATGTCGATAGATCACAATCATCCTCTATACGTTGGTCCTTCCGACACTCCTAGATCAGTTGTAGTTCCTGTTAAGCTTACAGGCTCAGAGAACTATGGGTTGGAGTAGGTCGATGCAGATCGCTCTTTTGGGAAAGAAGAAGCTGGGTCTTTTTTTACTGGAACATGCAAAAGGGATGCGTATGAAGGAGAGTTACTGGAACAGTCAGAAACATGTAATGCCATTGTTTTATTATGGATAATGAACAATATAGCACCTGAACCTTTAGGCGGAGTTGTGTATGCATCGGATGAGCACCTAGTTTGGGAGAATTTGCGCGAAAGGTTCAACAAAGTGAATCATGTAAGAATTTTTCAATTGCATCGTGAAATTGAAACTTTGGCACAGGGTGTCACACTCCTTTTTTTACCCCCCAAAAGATATATGTGTTGGATTGTGTGGGTTAAAATAGTTTTTTTCAATTAAAGTGACAAACTTGAGTAGGATTATTTTTTTTACAAAGTCGCCACTTGAAATTAATTTTTGGGTGTTCCAAGTCGCCTTTTATTTGAATCCCTAGTCAAATGAAGGTTTGACTCTTTTATTATTAGTCTGCAAAAATAAAGTCCGGTTAAAAAATTCTGTTGACCGAGGAGAAAGTGTAAGACATTCCCCGAGTCCTGTGGTTCAAACACGGTCGCTTTATTGACTACAACTTGGTTTAAATTAATTTTGGACAAACTGTGATTCATTGATTTCCGTATTTTATCTATCCGCTTTTATTTCTTAATTATTAGAAATATTAAAGAATATTTTGAATAATAAGATGTCATAATCACACTAAGCAAGCGAATGCGTTATCGAGACAAAATTTATTAATTGTCATAACAGCGCTACGCAAGCGAATCTGCAGTTATGGCAAATGATTATTAGCACATTGTTACTTTTGGAAAAAAAATTACTACACTCGTGCTTTGAGAAAATTAATATTGGAATTAATTAAAAAGGTCAACTATCGCGCTACACAAGCGAATTCGTGATTATAGCAAGGGATAAAATTAACTAAAACTATTGGATATGGTATGAAATTATTGAATTAATTAAATGTCAAACATCACACTACGCAAGCGAGTCCGTGAAGTTAAAGCGCACCTACTACTTGCCTGGCGTTTAAAATTAATTAGAAGAAAATTAGTTAATTTAATTTGTAACAAAAATCTGATTTTTATTTTTATTTTCTAGCCTTATTGTTGGAAAAAATTACGCAAATAAATGTTGGACCAACTCTCTCTATTTTAAAGAAATGGGTCAACTTATTGTTAAAGGAGAAATGACCAGCTTATAGATTATAAGGTTGTTGGGCTGCTGGGATTTATTATAAGAAAATGGGCCAACTTAATTACAATAAGAAAATGGGAAAGCTATTTTAAGAAGAAAAGGAATGGGCCAACTAGCTTAGTTGGCATCGGGCCTGCTTAACTGTTTTTATTTTGTCCATTATTCAATTTGTTAGCTGGTGGTTAAAGGTCCACTTATCATCACCTAACAATAAACCACATTCTCTTTCATTAATTTGGACAAAAATGATCCTTTCAACAAACTCATGTTTTCTTAACTTAAACCCAAAAAATTAACACACTTGTTAGGAAAAACTATAGAAGGAACACTAAATATTGAAGCTCAATTTCATAGTGAACAATTTAAACCAACAGATACTACAATGGACTACGATTATTATTCTCATAGCCTAAGGTAACTTAAACTCTTTTCATCGCTAAAATCACCTTCTACTTCATCATTATCTCTTTTTGGCATACATCTTCAAGACTAATATATAACTAGACATGTTAATCTAAACATGCATGGAAGAAGAATAAAACATCATGTTGGAGCTTTGTATTAAACTAAACAACGCTAATCTCATAAACCAAATAAAATTGAGACTAACACATAAACTCTCTTCTTTCTCTCTTAAAGATCAAGCTTAATATTTGGCTAATAACTCGTCGAGAATGCATAAACCATAAACTAAAAGGATTGGACATAGAACCAATATGAACATTATCAAGGTAAGTCATAGAAATGTAAATGAGTAAAGTAATAGTGAGTCCTTAAAGGAGTAACATCTCCTTTCATATATCTGAATGAAACCTACACCCATTTGAAACAAACAACAACCTAAATATCATTTAAACATGTCATTAACTAAAAGAAAAAGTTTAACTAACTCTTATATATGCTTGATACATAAAAGAAAACGGATCATACACAAACATAATACTTTCAAGATGACGAATACACTAAAAGGATTCGAATAACTTCATTTAATACTTTCAAGATGACGAATACACTAAAAGGATTCGAATAACTTTATTTCCATTCACTCTTGATCCAAAAGTAGTACAACAGTTGAGAAAATTACCTGAATAGCAGAAAGAAAATGTCAAGAAGGGAGGGACTAAATTTCAGCAACAAAAGCAGCAAAAACAGCAGCAATCTGGCAGCAAATAAGTGTTAAAACGGCCCGAAAACCTTAGAGAAGAGACCCAGAACCAACTCTAAAGAAGAAATATATTTTTCTAAAAGTTTGTACTCTAAAATTCACTCACAAAACTCACAATTTCAGCTCACTAAAGGGTGCTTCAGTTGCTGATTTTTTTTCTCTTAAAGTTATGTTTTTAGGGTGAAAAAACTGTCCAACCAATGTGTGATAGAGTCTGTCTCAAGTGTGGGAAGAGCAGCCCATTAAATAGGCATATAAAGTCATTTTTTGGACAAATTTTGATTCATCAAAAGTCTGTCAAAAAAGGACTGACTTTGTGTGCTAAGTACTGTTCCAAGGTTATCCAAAGGATGAAAGGACAGCCTGAAAATCTGCTATAGCATAAGCAAGGAGAAAAAATATCACTTCAGCTACCCTACTAGTAAAAAGTAGGCTACTAGTGCCCTATTTTATAATAAAATTACCTAAACTTCAGCTTTTAAATATTAGTACCAACCTATGTAATTCAAAAAAAAAAATCAAGAAACAAGTAACTAGAATTGATTAAATTGATAAGGCAAACATACTTGGATTGCAACCAAAATGAGCATTCAAACTAACTAGATTAAAACCACTTAAGCTTATGCAAATTAATGTAGAGCGGCTGAAACTATAACCTATTGCACTAAACAGATTTAATATAGCATCGCTGCACTATCGGACAACAATTAACGACTAACGATTAGACAATATGACTATTTCAAAATACACTAATACAGCCAAACGAATCAGCAATGACCAAAACGAGCGAAGAAATCAAACGAACCTAAACCTAAATCAAAAACAAAAATAGAAAAGGAAACAAAGAAAAATAAAAAGAAAGGGAGGTAGGGTTTTACTACACAACAATATTTGAGGCGACTCGAGCAAATGAGAAGATGTCGGGGACATCAAGTAGCGACTGTCCAATCCCGAAACACACATTATTTTTTGGCAGACGCTAATACAAATGAGTTTCGGCATCTCGTCAAAAGGAAACGAGTGTCTTTGAGTTGAAAATAGCCAAAAGTAGAGGTTAAGTGGTGCGGCAGTGGCGGCGGGTCGGCGGTGATGGTGGATGCCGGCGGTGGTGCGGATTTTGGGAGGGGTTTGAAGGAAATGGGGCTTGGATTCGTGGAGAGAAGGTTGAGAGAAAGAAATGGTGAAATTTTGGGGTAGTTTAGATGACATGCGGCAGCGATAGTGGTGGCAGCGCAACTAGGGTTTAGTTTTGTCAATTTTTGGTAGAGATTTGGGGCATTTGGGTTGTTGATCTAGAAAGAGAGTGAGGAGAGGAGAAGATTGGTGTAATTTGGGGGTGTTTGGAGGACGGCTGCCATAGGTGGGCGATTTCCGACAGCGGAGGAGAGACGGCAGTGGCTGGTCTGGCAGAGAGGAGAAAGAAAAGAGAGAGGAAGAAGAAATGGGAAAGAGTAATAAGGGAAATAGGGCAAAATATTTGATAAACTAGGCTTTAAATACCTAGGGTGGAAAATGATGAGAGCTGTTGGATCTGGGAGAGATGAATTCCTGGGATTTGATCTCACCCACTTAAGCAAAATGACGTCGTTTTGGTGTCTTCCACGCAGCCCATTCGGACTGGGTCTTGGAGCTACTGGGCCTGCGATATTGATCCTTGGGCCAATTTTGACTTTAAAAATGATAAAACCCAATCCCCTAACCCCTTTTATCAAATTATTTAACATAATCTAACTCTAAAATCCTACAAATACACACATAATAATCCTAAAAATTATAATGTAGAAGAAAAAGACAGGAGCAAAAATTAGGCATTTACACAGGGAACTAGTCATGTGTCTGTGTATTTTTCTAAATTGAAGGAACTTTGACATGAGTATGATGTTTTGGTTCCATTCCCAAATTGCTGTGAAAAATCGAAGGATCATGCAGAGCATTTGCATCAACAGAGAAGTATGCAATTTTTATCTGGATTAAATGATTCGTATGATCAAGCAAGAAGGCAAATTCTCATGAAAACTACTACTTCTTCTCTCAACCAGGCCTATGCAATGATTATTCAAGATGAAATCCAGCAGACGTTTGGTGCAAACATGATAACTGATAAGGCAGAACCCCTAGCTATGCAGGCAGGAAAAGGAAAGAGAAGAAAGCAACTCCTTTAATGTGAATTCTATCATTTAAAGGGACATACTAAAGAGAATTATTACAAAATTATAGGTTATCCTGCTGATTTTGTTCCAAAGAGAAGGTATGCCAAAGGAGTGAAGAATGCAGGAGGTTGGCAGCAGAACTCTAGGGTTAATACAGGAGGCTGGCAGTAAAACTCCAGTACTGGAAAACCAGGAGGATGGAATACAGCTGGTAAGCAAGGTGGTTAGAGAAGAGAGCCCATGGCAATGATCAATAATGTACATGTGTCTTCATCATGTGTGCAAGGCAATTGAGATAATTCTTTTAGGGATACTAAAGCAAATGATACCAAGGGATACCACTACTTCACCGATGACCAATATAATCAGATACTGAACCTGCTGAGCAAAGAACCTGGAGAACATCATGCCAACATGGCAAGTACAGGTACAAGTACATATATAATCAGTTTCCTAATGACAAGTTATAACAAAAACAAAAAAAATAAGGAGTGGATTATAGACTCAGGTGCCATCCATCATATTACCTATGATATAGAACTATTAACCGATACTAAATGTACAGGGAAGACAGACAAGGATAGAGTACATCTTTCTACTGGAGAAAAGGCTGACATTACTCATACTGGTAGTACAACCCTGTTAGATAAGAGGACAATCAGATATGTGCTTTATGTCCCAAACTTCAAGTTTAACCTATATTATCAGTGTCAAAGTTAACTAGGGAGTTGAATTGTAATGCCAACTTCTTTCCTGATTTTTGTGTGTTTCAGGACCTTTGGAATGGCAAGGTGAAGGGGATTGGTAGAGAAAGAGGAGGTCTATATCTGCTCAAGGGTGATCACTGTGGAAGACTAACTAATAGAATAAGGACATTCAATGCTGTGAGTAGGATGACTGAAGGTTCATGTGGCCTGTGGCACAAGAAGCTTGGCCATCCTTCCTTATTAGTGATGAAATATATAGTAGGTCTACATAATAAAGTTAGCAGTATGCTGCAAGATAGTTGCCTTGTATGCCCTTTGGCAAAACAAACTAGACTGAAATTTCCATTAAGTGACACTAGAGCAGATACATTGTTTCATCTTTTGCATATGGACTTATGGGGACCTTATAAAATTGCTACCTTTGACAGAAAATAATATTTTCTGACAATTGTGGATGACCATTCAAGATATATATGAGTATTTTTTTTGCAGTTAAAGTCTGAAGCCATAGTAGCAATAAAATAGTTCTTAACTATGGTTAAAAATTAATTTGGTATTGTGGTTAAGATGAAAAGGTCAGACAATGGGATAGAATTCTTCAATAAGCAATGTGCAGAATGGTTGAGTGCTTTGGGTATTATACATCAAAGTAGCTGCCCTTATACTTGACAGGAGAATGGCATAGTGGAGAGGAAGCATAGGCACATACTTTATATTGCAAGAGCCTTAAGGTTTTAGGCCTCAATTCCAATCAAATACTAGGGAATGTGTGTTAAAACAACTGTCTATTTAATCAATAGACTACCATCCAGTGTATTAGGGGGGAAGACTCCATATGAGGTCTTGTATCACAAGAATCCTAGTCTTGCACATCATAGAGTTCTAGGATGTCTCTGCTATGCTACAAATATAGTCAAAACAAATAAGTTTGATGAAAGGGCCAAAGCAGTTGTTCTTATGGGGTATTCTGAGACTCGAAAAGGCTATATTCTGTTTGATTCACTTACAAAATAATTTTTCACAAATAGAGATGTTGTATTTAGAGAATCTGAGTTCCCATTTGCCAGGGTGAATGAGAACAACTCAGTCAATCAGGAGTGTGGAGGAGAATTGAGTCCATTATTGCTCTCTCCTTTACATACTAATATTTTGCAGGAAACAAGCACTTTAAACTCAATGGAGGAGGAAGTAACTCTGCAGGACAATAGACAGAGTGTATTGTAGGATGGCTTAGATTTAGACTCATTAAATCTGCAGTAAATGGATGTTGCAGGAATTTCTGAGAATGCACAAGAGAGATCAAATACAATTGAGGATCAGTAAAAAAATGCAAATGAGTAGCAGGAAGGTAGAAATGCAACAAGCTCAAGACCAGACAGAAAATCTACAAGGCAGGTCAAAGAACCAATTTGGATGAAAGACTATGTGACAACCAAAAGAAACACAAGTTGCAACTATCCTCTTTCAAATTACTTGGCCTATGATCAGACCAGTTCATGCTACCAATGTTATCTAGCAAAATTCTCTCAATTGACTGAACCACAGACATTCAAGGAGGTTGTGAATGATATTAGGTGGGTAGAAGCAATGAAACAAGAGGTGCAGGCATTAGGATACAACAACGCATGGAAGGTGGTAGATTTACCAGAAGGAAAGAACGTTGTTGGATCAAAATGGGTGTATAAAACTAAGTTCAAGGCAGATGGAGATATAGAAAGATTCAAGGCCAGATTGGTTATAAAAGGATACAGTCAAAGAGGAGGCTTGGACTACCATGACACCTTCTCACCAATGACCAAAATGGTCACTATGAGGACTGTCATTGCATTGGATGCTGCAAGAGGTTGGGGATTGTACCATATGGATGTTTATAATGCTTTCTTGCAGGGAGATTTATATGAAGAGGTGTATATGGAGTTACCTGAAGGTTTCAGAAGTCAAGGAGAAAATAAAGTGTGCAAATTACTGAAGTCCCTATATGGACTCAAGCAAGTTTCAAGGCAATGGAATATTAAGCTAACTAAGGCTTTATTGTGGGCTGATTTTGTACAAAGCCATCATGATTACTCATTGTTCTCTGTGTGTGTGTGTGTGTGTGTGTCTTTGCTCCCTCTAACTTTGGTACGTCAAATTGTAAAGGAGTTAACTAGGAGTGTTGACGCCACTTAAGCTTGTAGCTAGAGTTAGTGGTGAGTTGAATTTAACTACAGTTAGGTGTAGCTGAGATAAATTAACCACATTAGTTAGTTAGTTGTAGTCAGTTAAACACGTGTATATATAATTGTAAAGAGTCATACTTCAGCTAAGACTTAGTAAATAAAAGTTTAATATTTCTCTCTCTAAAACTTCAGCTTCTTCTCTGATTCTTCCTAAAAATCTTATCTTCTCTGTTATTGAGCGTGCACCATAGAAATTGAGACTCGGTCAATTTCATAGAGTTGTGTAGCCAATTGACTTGTATTTTTCCATGTATTTTTTTATGTGTTAGAGAAACTGAGCTGTGACTCATGTTAGAAATCATGCTTAGGCAAATACTGATATTATTGGGACCCATCGAGTTCATTTCTGCTGTCGAATTCTATGTTTAAATTGTAATGCACTCAGTCATGTTCATTCATTGCATATCATATCTCAGTCTCTGTTGCTATTTATTGATACATCATATCATCATTTTGGGCTAGTTTCATGACATTGTGAGCCCGAGAGACTAAAGAGATTGTTGACTGAGTGAGGCTGAGGGCCTAATTGTGAGTGATATTTATGAGATCGGGCTGCACGCCGCAACATGTTTTATTGATTTATTCCTGGATTTGACTTATTATAGCGCTTGGGATGAAGGAGCCCCTCCGGAGTCTGCACACCCACAGTGAGCACAATTGATATTATAGTGAGGGTTGGATCTTCCCTGGGCATGGATCTTACCTAATTATTTATATTGAGGGATAGATCTTACCTAATTATTTATATTGAGGGATGGATCTTCCCTGGGTTGGATTGGCTCTGTATAGTACTGAGTGACTGAATGTCAGTTATCATATATATATATATATATATATATATNATTGAGTGGGCTGAGTATTGAGCATGTGAGTGAAAATACGAGACAATGAGATTTAGCACTCTACGAGTGTGAGTATATGAGTTCATCATTGAGATGCACTGCATTTGACATGCGTACTTGAGATACAGGCATAAAGATGCATTTCCTCATGCTACCCGGTTTTGGTGACATTTATGATTTCACCAGTATATTGACATGTAGGCATAGAGACGTATTTTCCTCATGCTATCTGAAAAATAAAATATCTTATTTATTGTTGAAATTTTTTTCAAACTTATTCATATATATTTTTGAGGTTTTCGGTGAAAGATCTGGGATCTACTATTATAATTGAAAAACATGCCTATTTTCCGTAACTGTGAAACAACTGAGTTATTTCTTGTACCATATTTACTATATTGTTATGAACTGTTTCTAGTTATTGGAGTTGGACTCTGACCCTTGTCCCAGCTCGTCACTACTTTCAACCTAAGGTTAGGTTTGTTACTTATTTAGTATATGGGGTCGGTTGTACTCATACTACACTTCTGTACATTACGTGCAGATGTTAGATGCTGATGTCGTTGCGTACGATGGGAGTTGAATTTGAAGATGTACTTGCGTTCCGTTCATAGCTGCCTGTTGATCTTAGTAGCTTTAAAAATTTTAATCTGTTCCTGTATAGTTCAAACAGATGATGTATTTTATTTCATATCAGCTTTGTAAATTCTAATCTTAGAAGCTCATGATTTGTACTACGAGTCCTTGGAGAAATTCTTGTATAAAAGCAGTTGTATTATCATTTATTTTCTTAATAATCTCATTAAATTAGATAGTTGTTAATTGGTTTACCTAACGGGTTGGGTTAGGTGCCATCCCGACTAGTTGGAATTTGAGTCGTGACAACATCAAACCTGCTGCACACACTTGCTTATATCCTTTATCAGATGTACTAGCATATGATTCCATCTCACCCAAGTACAATAGTTTCATTACTAGGTTTTCAACTAATGTTAAACCTAAAAGTTATGCCCAAGCAATTAAGGATCCCAGATGGATTGATGCTATGCAGGCTGAGATCAAAGCATTAGAAGACAATCAGACTTGGGAAGTAGTCTCCCTGCCTGTAGGAAAGAAGGCAATTGGGTGTAAATGGTTTATAAAATCAAGTATAAGGATACTAGGGAGGTAGAAAGGTTCAAGGCTCGGCTAGTAGCAAAAGAATACAGTCAACAGGAAGGGCTAGACTACCACGACACTTTTTC